CTACGGCCGGCGGGGGCAGAGGCGGCTCCACCGAGGATCCGGTTCCAGGAAACCGCCCGACCCGGCAGCCCCGGGGACGTGCGAGGCAGGAGCGCCATCTGCTTGGGTGCTCCCCGGAGATGGCCCAGGGCCCCAGCTCAAACCCTGAGGTCCCCATCCCCACCCCACGCACCCCTAGATATCCCCCGCGTCCAAGGAAACACAACCCGGGCGCCAGGCAGGGAGTCCTAAGCCCAGAGATCAAAAGGGTTCTCGGCGTTCGGGTTCTGCAGAAGAGAAAATCCCCTCCCTGGCTCAAACTGCAGCTTCTTCTTCTGGGATTCAAATGAAGAGCTTCCCCCCCCCCCGCAGCAGGAGCACGGGCTGTGCCTTTTGGGAAGGTCTCCAGCCCTGCTTGTTTTGGGAGCAGCCAGAACAAGGCAGGGGAGCAGAGATGCAGCCCCACTGCAGCCCTGCCTGTCCTTCACCTGCACAGACCTCCTCCTCTGCAAACTCCTCGGGTCTGTGGAGAAAACAAACTCCAGAGTTGCTGAGAGCCTGCACAGGGTTAAGGCTGGACTCAATGATCTTCAAGGTCTTTTTCCAGCCTACATGATCCTGGCTTTGCCCACAAGCAGCTCATACTGCAGGGCTGGAGGATGATGCATTCACAGACACATCTTGTCTTGACACAATTCCCTAAAACCAGGCTTGGAATCAGATCCAGATCCCTTAGCCCCTCTAAGACACAAGCTGAGAACTCAGAAGCTACAACTCCTCTTGCTCACAGCCCTTCTCAGTGCTGTTTTTGGATAATCACTGCACTTCTGGTCAGCTCTACAGATCTCCAGAACTTCCTTAAACCTTCCATCTGCAAAACAGAAACATTCATCCCCTCCTCTGGCCCCAAGGACTGAAAGAGAGAAGGGCCCTTTTTAAAATATTAAAATAAAAAAACCCACATTTGTAATCAGTTTTTATTTCAACTCAGTATTTACACCCAGGTCTAGCTCAGGCCTCAACAAGTGCTGGTTGGCTTCCCTCCACTGAGTTTGAGCCTGCCAAGGAAGTTTGCTGGAGAGAGGAGTGTGATAAAGAGATGGGAGAATTGTTACTGGATCCAGCCCAGGAGCTCACTCCAGTGTCAGGAACCAGTCACCCAGCCCCCCAGCCTAGGACAACCTGGCCTTGCTCTTGGGGGGCTTTATTGCTTCTGTGAACATGCTGCCCACTTGTCCCTTACCTGGAGGGGTGAGCAGGAAAGGGGAGAGCTGCTGGACCAGCCCTAAAGGAAGAGGGTGGGAAGTGCTTCTCCAAAAAAAATAATGTTTGCACTCTCAGAGACTGCTGAAATCTCTGTGGTTCCACCTCTACTGCAGGAGACTGGCAGCAGGTCTTGGAAATCTTAGTCATGAAGGAATACTAGAAGACACTGGTCCAGACAGAGGGAGTTAGTGCCTAAGGTGAGGAGCAGGAAAGTTGCAGGCAAACAGAAGAGCCTGCAGGAGAAGGCAGCACCCAAGTATCTTCAACATCTCTTCTTGGAGAGAAAAGCCCTTGGAAGAGGGTCACCCCAGCAGCCCCACACTGCTGGCACCAGCTCCCAGTGTGGTGTAGACTCCAGATGCTGCTCCTGGACACCTTCCCTTGCTCCTGAGCCACTGGCCCAGCAGATCCCCATGCTCCTGTGGGGAACGGGCCAGGAGCTGCCAGCCCTCCCTGCCTGGGAGGCTCTGCAGGGTCTCAGCACCCATTTGGTGACACGGCTGCTGTGACAGGTTCATGCTGGATGGCTGCTGTGGCCAGGCTGATGGCTGCCTCCAGGCTCTGCTGCTCTTCCAGCTGGGGTAGGAAAGGGAGAGGGGTAACACTGTCCTCCCAAAGAAGTGGGTTTGGGAGGTGTGGGCTGGCTCAGGGCAGCAGGACTGTGATACAAGGGATTGGCAGTGGGTGGCACAGGGAGAAAGCAGAAGACAAAGCAGAGAGGGCCACAGTGAGGAAAGGCTGTTTACAAAGGAGCATTTTGCACTCCAAGGTGCACGTCCCTGCTCTCCTCCATCTACAGGGTGTCTGGGAAGGAAGGAGCAAGAGGGGAGGTGCTGAAGCCAGGGGGTGGGTGGGGGAAGGCAAGGGCAGGAGCTGCGGGTACCTGCACTGCGATGTGGGTGCCACTGGGGGTAGCCAGCAATGCCACCTGCTGATGACAGAGGGACGTGATGGCTGATTCTTCAGACACAGCTGCCCCAGAAGTGACTATGGCAACCTGGGCAAGTCAGGAGAAAAAAAAAAAAAATCCAGTCCTGTTTTAAAAGCCCAGGTGATTTCCTTCCCCAGGGAAAAGGGAAGGTCCCAGTTTTTGTCCGTACCGGCTGCGTCCCGGGGCTGCCCGCGGTGTGTGTGTCACCACCTGCCAGCTCCTCCTCAGGCAGGAGGGCACTGCTCTGTGTCACCATGCTGATGGCACTGCCCAGGGCCTGCAGCTCCTCCTGTGACAGACTGACCTGGGCAGGAGAAAAGCAGATGCTCTCAGCCAGGATGGCTTCTCAGGAAGCCTTACACAGCTCCGGAGTGTAGCAACACCAGGGTCTCAGTGGGGATGAAACACCCTCTTCTCCTCCTCCTCCTCCTCTTCCACATGCAAGGTGCAGGGCATGGAGAACTCCAGTTCAGGGATTCTGTGACCTCCCAAGGACTTTTTGCTCAGGGACAGAATCAATGAGACCTTGAGTCTCCAGCTCTACCCCTTCTACCACAGCTCCCTTTCCCCCCCCATTGTGCATCTTCTCCCCAGGTTTGCAGCCACAGCTGGTGTCTGCAGCAGGGAACATCTGGGACTAAGAGGAAACAAGTGTGACCCGTGGCAGCTGCTTCCTTCCCTGTGCCCCAGAAGGGAGTTTTTCCCTGTCAGCACAGAGGCAGCTGTGATGGGAGGGAAGTGCCACAAAAGCAACCACCATGTACAGACAATGGATAAACAAACTCCAAATCCATGTGTCAGCAGAGAGAGGAGCAGCCTCTCAACAGCTGCTGGGGAGGAGAGGGTTGTCAGGGCCCAAATGCCAGCTTGGCCCAATGCCTGCAAGACCCTGGCCAGCAAGAAGGGGAGTTGAGGACCAGAGACCTGTTCTTTACCCTCCACGTGGAGCCTGGGGTGAGGCTGTCAGGAGAGAGGCCACAGGACAGAGCCCATGAAGCCCCATGGTCTGTTTTATGCTGAAAAAAGCCTTAATGAGAACACCAAAGCTGGGGAAAGGCAGGAGCCTAGCTAACTGCTGTGCCCCAACCACAGGAGGTGTCAGTGTCCATACCTGCTCTGTCCCATCCTGAGAGAGAAGTGAGACCTGTGTGGACACACCACTGGCATCTTCCTCTTCATCTTCCTCCATCTCTGACAGGAAAGCAACGTGCTGGCTCTCCAGGGGGGGGGCTTTGTCTGCAGCAGCAGCTGAGCCAAGGAAAAGGGGAAGAGCAAAAGGGATGAGAGAAGCTCTAATCAGAGAGTGAAAGCTCACCCTGACCCCTGGATCTGCCTGCTGCCTGAAGGCCAGCAGATGAGCCCAGAGTAGGCCTGGGGAGCAGAATCTGTGCCTCTCCCTGAGCTACAGAATGGGCAGGGGTCTGTTCCCAACCCGTGACATTCAGTGAGGACTATGGGGAGCCTTTTACTCTCATCTGTGACACAGATCTGGGTTTCAAGGAAAGCAGCAGTGGGGAGGAGGACCTGGGAGTCCTGGTGTACAAATTCACCATGAGCCAACAATGTGCCCTGGTGGCCTAGGTGGCCAGTGGCATCCTGGGTGCATTAAGAAGAGTGTGGCCAGCAGGTTCTCCTGCCCCTCTGCTCTGCCCTAGTGAGGCCACATCTGGAGAACTGGGTCCAGTTCTGGGACCCCAGCACAAGAAAGACAAGGAGCTACTGGAGAAAGTCCAGCAAAGGGCTACAGAGATGATGAGGGGGCTGGAGCATCTCTCTTAGGAGGAAAGGCTGAGAGAGCTGGGGCTGTTTGGTCTGGAGGAGAGAGAAGTGAGAGGGGATCCTATCAGTGCAGGTGTCAGGAGGATGGGATCAGACTCTTCTCAGTGCTTCCTAGTGACAGGACAAGGGGCAACAGGCACAAACTGGGATGCAGGAAGTTCCATCTAAACATGAGGACAAACTTCTTTACACTTTGAGGTTGAGCACTAGAACAGGCTGCCCAAAAGGTTGTGGAGTCTCCTTCTCCAGAGATCCTCAAAACCCACCTGGACATGATCCTGTGCAACCTGCTCTAGGCCAACCCACTTCAACAGAGGCTGGGACTAGATGATCTCCCTTCCAACCCCCACCATGACCCTGCGACAGGAGAGGCAGGAGGCCACAGCAGAATCCTGGGGCTGGCAGCAGAGCAGCTGCAGGCTCTTTGCTGCCACCTCCCTCCCCTTTTGCCACGCCTCCCGCAGGCCAGGGGGGATGTGGCTGCTCACCCTCCAGCTGCTGCTGCTCGTAGAGGGCCTGCTCGCTCTCCTCGGTGGCCTCCAGCTCGCCGTGGCTGCTGCGCTTGTGCATGGCCAGGGTGGAGGTCTGACGGTAGGTCTTCCCACAGCTGCTGCAGGTGTAGGGTTTGCAGTGTGTGTGCACCACGTGGTGCTTGTAGAGGCTGGAGTACTCGGTGAAACGCTTCCCACAGCCCGGCACCGTGCACAGGTAAGGCTTCTCCCCTGGGCAGAGAGAGGAGCTGAACCCACCCCACCCTCCTCTGGAGAGGAAAATGATCCGAGGGCTGGAGCAGCTCTGATGAGGACAGGCTGAGGGAGTTGGGGGTGTTCAGCCTGAAGAAGAGAAGGCTCTAAGGGGTCTCACAGTGGCCTTCTAGTACCTGAAGGGGCTCCAGGAAAGCTGGGGAGGAATTTTTTACAGGGGCTTGCAGTGAAAGGACAAGGGGTAATGGTTTTAAACTGACCTCTGGAGAGGAAAATGATCCGAGGGCTGGAGCAGCTCTGATGAGGACAGGCTGAGGGAGTTGGGGGTGTTCAGCCTGAAGAACAGAAGGCTCTAGGGGGTCTCACAGTGGCCTTCTAGTACCTGAAGGGGCTCCAGGAAAGCTGGGGAGGGACTTTTTACAGGGGCTTGCAGTGAAAGGACAAGGGGTAATGGTTTTAAACTGAAAGAGAGGAGAGATTTAGGTTAGAAATGAGGTGGAAATTCTTTGGTGTGAGGGTGGTGAGAGCCTGGCCCAGGTTGCCCAGGGAAGCTGTGGCTGCCCCATCCCTGGCAGTGTTGAAGGGCAGGTTGGATGGGGCTTGGAGCAACCTGGGCTGGTGGGAGGTGTCCCTGCCCATGCAGGGGGTGGGACTGGATGATCTTTAAGGTTCCTTCCAACTCCAAACACTGATTCAGTGACTGTGAGCTGCTGCCTCTCGGCCTCTCACCTGTATGGATCCTCATGTGGTTCTTGTAGTTGGTGGCACTGGTGAAGCCCCTGCCACAGCTGGGCTCTGGGCACAGGTAGGGCCGCTCGCCCGTGTGGGTGCGGATGTGAACCTTGCGGATGTTGGAGGTGGTGAAGGAGCGGCCACAGCCCACAAAGGGACACTTGAAGGGACGTTCCCCTGCGTGGAGACACCAAAGGGGGACAGAGTCGTGCTACAGCCCCCTCTGTTCCCTCACCAGGACCTCAGATCAGCTCCAAGTGCTGGCACATTTCCACCTTCTACTCATAACCCAATCAAGAACCCCCAGTACTGCCTCTGCCACCCACCGACTCCAGTCTGAAGACTTCAGCTCTGCCTTTGCTTCACCCAGGACACAAAAAGGCACATCCTGGACAAAGGCTGAAGCAGAACTTGATTTCAGAGACCCAAGTTCCTGCACTGCTCACCTGTGTGTGTCCTGATGTGTTTCTGCAGATCCCCAGAGGTTTTGAAGGCTTTGCTACACATGTCTTCTGGACACTTGTATGGTTTTTCACCAGTATGAGTCCTCACGTGGCTCTTCAGCCCATACCCTGTCCAGGAAAGAAACTACAATTAGATTTTATGACAAGCAGGAAATAAGCTGGGTACCACCTCTCAGGTCATGCATTTTTTAACTGTCTGTCCTGGCTCTGCAAAGCTGAAGGGGAGGACATTTCCAAACAGCCTCACACCACCACGGACATCTCAGCTTCTTCCTACAGCTCCCTAAATCTGCCCCATATCACTCAAATCCCAGGCTGCAATTCCTTCTCAGAAGGCTTTGCCCTGGTTTTCTCCTGGCATAGCATGAAGCTCCTGATTCTCTGCTGGGAAAAAGCTAGGGCTGATACTGGTTTGGACTGGAGAGAAAACAAAATTGGCTCAAAAGAGATTTTTACCTGTAGCAAATGCTTTCCCACAGCTTGGGAAGTCACACGTGTAGGGCCGGTCACCCGTGTGAGCACGCTCATGTACCTGGAGAAGAAAGAACAGATCCCTCAAAATGAGGTCCAAGACAAGGAGGAAGGAAAGTAGTGTGGAGGAATCCAGCTGGTGGAGAGAACCTGAAGTTCTCTGTTGGATTTCACCTTGACCAGTCAACACATCTGGATCTCCTGAGGAGCCAAGGACACAACTCAGCCTTTTGTGCAGCAACATTGATGGTTGGACTCTGATCTCAGAGGTCCTTTCCAACCATGACTGTGATTCTGATCTGGCAGTGTAAGAGGGGGATGTGTCTGGGCTGCTCACTGTGTTGCCAGCTTTACCTTCAGGTGGTGGGCAGTGGTGTAGAGGCGACCACAGCCCTTGTACCCGCACTGGAAAGCTCTGCTGCCAACCCCCTGCCCCTTCTCAGGGCTGGGCACTTCCTCCTCCTGCAAATCCTGCTGAGAGAAGTAAGGAAATTCATCCAGTGACCCACTGCTACAGACTTTTCAAAGCCCACACACACCATTTCCCTCCTTGCTGTACACACCCACTTCTCCCATTACCCTCACAAACGTTCCTACCAACGCAACCTGTGGTAAAACCCAAGTGACAGGGCAGAGGGTTGAGAACCAGCATCTCCCACTCCCACCTCCCTGGGTGTTTTCAGACATGGAACTCACCTCCCTGTGCTTCACTTTGCTCATTTGTAAAACTCACAGCTCATATATTTGCAGACAGGCCACAAAGCTCTTTTAATTACAGAGAATTTGGGACCCATTTCAGAAAAGCAGCACTGAAAAATCCAGACCTGGGAAGGGAGGTCACTGGAATCCTCACTCCCCAGATGGCAGGTGCCTGTCACTCCCTCCTCTTCCTCATCAGACACCTGCAATCACAGAGGCACAGGCACTGGTCATCCCTCCCTGCCCAGTGAGGAGCAGGAAGGCATTCACACCAGCAGTGCCCACCCCTCTCTTCTCTGGGGAGCTGGGGGAAGCTGGTGCCACCACAGCAGAAAGGTCTCCAATCTCTACCTCTCCATGCTGCCCACACTATTGGTGGCCCCTTCTCACACCCCACCCTGAAGATGGGAGAAGATGGCACCCAAGACATTCCCATGGAGAACTACCATGACAATACTTCAGGATCTGGAGTTATTTTGGGTTTTAAGGCCTTGGTCAACATGGGGAACAGAAGCCTTAACTTAGCTGCTCCTGACAGGTAAAAGATCCAGGCAGCAGATCAAGATTCACCATCTGTGGAAGAAAATACCACACTCAGGTGGCATTAGGAGAAACCTGGCCAACTGGAAGAGAACACCTTGAAGGAGGGACATACAAAGCAAGGAAAAACCAAACAACCAAGCTGCATCATTCCAAGCTGTATTCCCATCCCTGAAGTGTTCAAGGGCAGGATGGGGCTTGGAGCAACCTGGTCTGGTGGGAGGTATCCCTGCCCATGAGTTGTGACTGGATGATCTTTAAGGTCCCTTCCAACCCAAACCAGTCTGGGATTTGACGATTCCATGATCCCAGCAGCTCTCTGCTCTTCCCAACTCTGTGCCTGCAGCAAGTTAAGGGTAAAAGACCCAGCACTGTAGGAAGTAGCAGGAAACTGCCCTTTTCTGGGCCCTGAACTGGCAGCCACCTCTCAGTGGTGGCACTTCCATGGCAGCCTTGTTCACCTCTCAAAGCTGCCATTGCTGAAAAACAAACACAGAGAAGTCCTAACTTGGCTTCATCCTGGCTCAAACCAGGACAGAGGGGAGGACACAAACCCCTGGCTACACCAGCCCCTCCATGCTGTGGCAGATCATGGAAGAAGCCTCATGTCCTCACCTTACTGATGTACTCCCTTAATGCACTCGTGGTCTCAACATCAAAGGCATCCTCTTCCTCCTCTCCAGCCAGCTCCTCCAGTCCAGCTTCTGCCTGCACTTCCAGGATGGTGCTGCCAGGTGGCACGAGGACAGGACGGTGTATGTAGGCAGTGGAACCATCCTCCAGCTGGATGGCCTCAAAGGTGCTGGGGTCATAACTTTCTGCAAGAGGAAAACAATCAAGACCAAATGTTTTGGTTTTATTCACACTCTTTTGTCTCCCTGGGTTACCTACAGCCTTGGAAATCTGTGATACTTCAGCAAAAAAGGGGGCATGTGTTTTACCTGTGCTGTGTATGTAGGCCATGCTGCCATCCTCCAACACCACAGGCTGACCATCCTCAAAAGGCACAGACTCTAAAAGAAGAGGAAGAAAAATCCACACATATTATGGGAAGACTCTGTGGGTTTCAAGGAACCTTTCAAGAACAGAAAAGGGAGGTGGCATCCAAGGAACTTGGAAGGACTGCCCAGAGCAACTGAGATCTTTCTACCTTCCACACGTGATGGTGGCTGGGGAGGACTCCTCTGTGCCTCTCTGGTTCTTGCCTCATGAAGTGAATTCCCATCAGTTCTCAGCTGAATTAATTGCCTCATTTCAGAGATCACATTGGTCAATGACTCATAGAATCATAGGATGATTTGGGTTGGAAGGGATCTTAAAGATCATCCAGTCCCATCCCCTGGATGGGCAGGGACACCTCCCACCAGCCCAGGCTGCTCCAAGCCCCATCCAACCTGCCCTTCAACACTGCCAGGGATGGGGCAGCCACAGCTTCCCTGGGCAACCTGGGCCAGGCTCTCACCACCCTCACACCAAAGAATTTCCTCCTAGTGTCTCACCTGAATCTCCCCTCTTCCAGTTTAAAACCATTCCCTCTCATCCCATCCCTCCCTGCCCTTGTCCCAAGTCCCTCCCCAGCTTTCCTGGAGCCCCTTCAGGCACTGGAAGCTGCTCTAAGGTCTCCCTGGAGCCTTCTCTTCTCCAGGCTGAACACCCCAACTCTCCCAGCCTGTACTCTCAGCCCCAACTCTCCTCCACTCTCAAATACCTATCCCAGAAGTAATATATTACCTGAAGGGTTCAGAGGAAAATCCTGTCCAACTGCTCTCAGATGAAACAAAGGTGGTTTGGGCTCTGCTTTTGGCACTACCACAGCTCCCAGTTCCCTGGCCTTGCTGGGAACCTCGTGATCTGTCAGCTCTGAGAGAGCCCACAGGTGAAACAAGACTCCACACACATTTGCTGACACCAACAGCAAACTTCTCTTCTTGTCAGATTGTTAGAAAACTGTGCAGGAAATCACATGTTCTGTGTCCCTGCTCATTCAGCCTCAAAATCACAGGCAAGAAAAAAACAACCCTGCAGCTGTATGGAATTCCTAAAGCTCTAGCCCAATTGTTGGAACACAGACAAAACCAGTTACATCTACAACTTCCTTCTAAAAAGAATAAAGTCCTCACCTTTCTGAACTGTCACCTGATGGATATAAGCTGTGGTCCCATCTTCAAGTTCAATCACTTGCCCTTCAATTAGCTTTTCACCTGAAACAGTTAAAAACCCCACCATCAGCACTGCCTGCAGGGTCCAGCCTTTCTGGTCCCACCAGCTGTCCCCTCTGCTGCATCTTCTCAGGGAAACCAGTCCCACAGAAAGCAGCAAAACTGGTGCTTACAGGGTGTTATTTATCCAGTTTTTCCACTGAATAGCTACAGAGGCACTTCCCAGAAATGCTGGAGCCTCCTTTTCCTAGACAGGAGGATACAAGACAAAGAACCTCAGTCTTCCCTTGTTTACAAGCTGCCCTTTGCAGCCCTGTAAGCCAAGCAGCAGGAGGAATGACATGTGCTGGGTGGCTTGGATCTAAAGCAGCAAGCAATTCCACTTGTGCTGGAGAAAAACTCAGCTGGGAGCTTGTAGCAGAATCAGGAGGGGCCTGATTTTTATTCTGTTTTGGTGGATGATCAACTCTTGGATAAAAACTTACAGCCTCTCAAGTGTTGCTACCCTTGATGGGTTGTGAACACTGGACTCTTAAAATAGCAAAACTCTGAGTAACTCTTTCATAATGTTTGGTTACCCAAGGGCTTAATGCAGAGAGGACTCTGCTCTACCCCACCTGAGCATGAGGAATCCAACTTGTTTTCCCCTGGTGCACAATGTTTGGGAGGGGTCACAAAACCTCATAGTTTTCAGGCCAGGCCCAGCTCCACCCACGTGATAAACTTGCAGGGAAAAGAAATAAAAGAGACAATCCTTAGGACATGAAGCCTCAAGACTCCACTGTCCTGTTCTGCAGGCTGGGAAACTGCCTGTTCCTTTTGTGGTGGAGGAGGCAGCACCTCACAGCCACGAGAATAAGGGCAGGTGTTGGATCTGGCACTGATGCTGCCTCAGTGAGCTCAGCACCCCAGTCAGGGAGCAGAACACTGCTGTGAACCAACCTGAGCAACTTGGGCAAGTTAAACACCCTGCTTAGCTCCAGGGGAAGTTCTGGTTGAGGTGAGTCCTACAGGTCTCAGTGTGGACCCTGTTTCCCCAGTCACCCACACCAGGGCTCACTCTACTCTGAGCAGTACCTTCATTTCCCACAGCAGCACCTCTTCCATCTCCAAAGCTTTATTCCCAAACCAGAGGTGTGTTTTATTTCCCCTCTTTGTACAAACAGAGCTGCCAGCTTCATGGACTGGTTTAGGTTGGAAGGGACCTTTCAACATCATCTAGTCCCAACCCCCTGCATGGGCAGGGACACCTCCCACCAGCCCAGGCTGCTCCAAGCCCCATCCAACCTGCCCTTCAACACTGCCAGGGATGGGGCAGCCACCGCTTCCCTGGGCAACCTGGGCCAGGCTCTCACCACCCTCACAGCAAAGAATTTCCTCCTCATGTCCAACCTAAATCTCCCTCTTCCAGTTCAAAACCATAACCCCTCATCCTATCACTACACACCCTGCTAAAAAGTCCCTCCCCAGCTTTCCTGGAGCCCCTTCAGGCACTGGAAGCTTCCCAGACCAAGCAACCCTACAGGATGCACATCAGCTCACGTGCCACGGGGCACTTTTGACAAGTCTACCTTTCATGTCACAAGGTCAAACAAGAAGACTTTCAGACCCCCAAGCCCAAGGGGCTGTTACCTCTGACAGCCTGCTGGATATAGGCTGTGGTCCCATCACTAAGGGTCACTGCTTGCAAGGCCAAGCTCTCCATCCTGCCCTGATGGCTGCTCCTCAGACATGAAGCTCAGCTCAGACAATGTGCTCCCAGAGAGCACCCGTGCTGTGGGGCAGCCAAGGGGCTCCTTTGGTGCAAGCCTGCAAGAAATCAAAAGAGCAATTCACATTTTTCTCCCCCACGTCTGTTACTTCTGTACATCAAGTTTGCTGAACAGCAAACTGGTTTGGAGATTCTAAAGGATTAAACTGGGCAGACTTTCCCACAGCAGCAGCAGGCAGGGATGTCCAACCCACAGACAGAAACCAAAAGAATCATGGAATGCCAGGTTGGAAAGGACCTCAAGGATCATCTGGTCCAACCTTTCTAGGTGCTACTCTAGTTGATGTGAGGTGGCTCAGCACCCTGTCCAGCTGAGACTTCAAACTGCCCAATGTGGGGGAATCCACCACTTCCCTTGGGAGACTGTTCCAATGTCTCACTGTCCTCATATGGAAAAATCTACCTCGTGTCCAATCAGAATCTCCCCAGGATCAACTTGTGCCCATGACCCCTTGACTTTTCCATGGAAATTAAGCTTATCATGTTATCAAACTGACAGACCCTTTTTAGAGAGGGTAAACACCACGTCCAAGGCCTTCTCATCCTCCAGATGATCTGCAGGAAAGGCTTCCAAGTACTTTAAAGTATGAGGTTGTCCTATACTGCAAGAGACAGGGAGTTATAAGCTTATAACTTTGTCCCTGGAAGCACCTTCATCCTCTCCTCCCTTTCCTGCCTAATTCCCTGCTCTGAGGAGCAGGATTTCAGGCTATTAGCAGATGATGTTACAACACCCACACCCTTATGGGAACACCTTGCTCAAGAGGCACTTTACTGATAGATTATCTTTAAAAGCAGCTGCAGTGGATTCTTCGTGGGAAATCTCTGAGATAGCCTGACATTTGATCATTTTGATTTCCAGGAACCAGCCTGACAGGGCAGCCCCCAGGGGTGCAGCCCCCAGGGGTGCAGCCCCCAGGGGTGCAGCCCCCAGGGGTGCAGCCCCCAGGGGTGCAGCCAGGCTTCGCCCCCTGCAGCCCCACCCCTCCCTAC